CCCTAAATACTTGCCCTGCAAATCCAACCAAAGACACAGAAATTACTTTTATAATGATGTAATCCATTGGAAAACTCTGATGGGAAAGTTAATCTTTATATTCTCAGTAAAAGCAAAACACACACCGTTCCCCTCTGGTACCATTTTTGACAACCACCAAGATGGAAAAAGTGTCATCAGGATGTTATCACCACCAGGTTTGTGTAGTGAAAGGCTTATCCAGCAGGAGCAATAGGAATTAGTATCACTACTGGGAAATCAGACTGTGGTGCTGGGTCATGCAAGCTCTTCGCTGAGAAAGTTCACCACAAACAAGAACCATTTATTAATCACTTTGACTTAACACTTTGTACAGAAGACTTAAATAGCTGCATCGAGAAAGATCTGGAAGCTTCAGAGTATAATCAGTGACTTTGTGAGTTCAACAATAACAGGAAGAAGGACACTGGATAAAGTTTTCTTCTTAGATGCAATTGATCATCATAACCTTATGAGCTTCCTGTTTATGACTGTCTATTTTACACTTTGTTTTAGCTGTGGTTTTAGTTTAGTTGTCCATTTCAGTCCTTGCTAACAGTGTCAACATAGAAAGAGGCAACAAACCCACCACTGCCTCCCAGTAACCTGGAACTGTACTGGTAACATTCCATTCTGAATGCTTGCCTTAAATCTATTAAAACCATGACTTCAGAGATAGTGGATCAAACAGGAAAACTTTTGTTAACTTAAGTAAAATCTGAATTTTTATTGATAACATTATTTGGGGAAATTTGCCCCCTTCCAGGAAGTAGAAGAAATATAGGGATGTGATTCTTTATATCATAGAATTCCAGGATCACAGCAAGACAGACATCAACTACTACTACCCAAAGTCAAATAAAAACCAAGCAACTTGTCCCTACACTGAACTAGTGCCCCAGTTGGGCTGGGTGAGTGGAGCAGCTTGTAGAACACTAGAATTTGGGGGAAGTGTCATTCACTCACTGCACTCTCTGTTCACTTTGTGAACTAGCAGATAATTACCCACAAACACAATTAAAAGCATTTGCCTTGTACACTCCAATCTGTAACTCAAGGTTTAGGCTGAGCAGGAACCTTTGTATAAATAACATGCCTTATGGATCAACATTCCTATGTCTATTCAATGTCCAGATAAGCAAGGACGCCATGGTTTGGGCTCATCAGTAAGTCCCACCAAGTCTGTTATCCAAAAGTGCTCCTGGCTCTGACGACAGTCATTCATGTTCTCCCACCATCAATCCCCAGCTCAAAGTGTCTCCTGATCTTGGTCCCTTGAAGAGATGACCTTCATGGGATGCTCATAAAGCAGCTCATGCTGGGGAGAAGCTTCTTAATGACAAACTTTTCAGCTTGGTGAAAAACTCAACACCTACTCACACAGTCAGGCTAGACATGACTGCACCTGGGTGAGAACACTGCTCAAAGCTGCAGATTTAGCATCTGAGTTACCTGTAAGACATTGCTATCACTCCTGGCTTGAGAGTCAACCAACTGTTGCCAAAGCTCAGGTGAGGAAGTGACCAGTACAACCAGTCCAGGTCAGAACTGGCTTCAAACTGTGCATCTTTGTTTCAGGAGTGCACAACTTTGTCTCAGCACAGATTTCTTCACTAGTTTATACAGAGACTGCATAAGCAACACAACAGACTAATTTCTAAAGGGTGGAGACAAATGTTGTAACTTGCAGGTGTACGGGGGCAGACATCAACCTTCTTGGCACAGATTCCCAGCATTGCAGAGAAGTGTTCTCCAATGTTTCAAAAAAAAAAAAAAAGGAGATTGCTGAAATTCTGAGATCCACGGGCAGTCGTAGCATTTCTGAGGCCTTCAACTCTCCTTCATGTCAAGGTGCAAGAAGGAGCACATTTCCTCTACCAATTTCCTGAAGTGATGCCCTTCTGATACAACACTCTGGGCTTGGACACTCCCAGCCTTACACCATGGAACTAGGAACAGTAAACAGCCCAGCACCACATCCTGCTTCTGAGAGTTAAAGCTGAGCATAATCTGTACTGACAAGTTCCCTAAAAACTCTCCTTCATGTCAAGGTGCAAGAAGGAGCACATTTCCTCTACCAATTTCCTGAAGTGATGCCCTTCTGATACAACACTCTGGGCTTGGACACTCCCAGCCTTACACCATGGAACTAGGAACAGTAAACAGCCCAGCACCACATCCTGCTTCTGAGAGTTAAAGCTGAGCATAATCTGTACTGACAAGTTCCCTAAAACCAGTCTGAAACAGATTTTGCTTTTGGGAACATAAGAACTCCTACAACTGATCCAACCAGAGAGCAGTGAGGAAAGTGCAACACAACAGGTATTGCAGCAAAGCATTTTGGTCTCATGAGTCAGTCCTGGCACTGGGAGAGCTCCAACAGACTGATGTGACTGTGTTGTAAAGGTTCTTAGAACACAAGTTTTATTTTCCTCAGTACCTGACTAAATAGATAACATTTTGTTTTCATTAGTTGGGTTTAGGCAAAACTTCCTTAGAAGGGTTGCAGTTACGGAACTTCCAGGGAGGAACCTGTGTATTTTAAGGCTACCTCTGTTGTTTATAATCACTAATTAACAGGCACTAAGCACAACAAAAGGCTGCAAGCAAGCCAAACTCCACTGCAAGTTGAAGGGATTCTTTTAGAGCAGGACTAGTGTTACTCCCTATTTTAGAGCTGTTTTACAGACTTGGGAGTAGCACTGATGAAGACAAAGCAAAGCTCCCCAGCAGTCACACTAGTCTTTAAACAGCTGTTTCACCTTTCCAGCTGTTCTGCAGAACTCATACTGAGGCAGGAGAACTGTAAAGATGAAACCATCCAACTTCAGTGCTGCTGGTTTTTCCTTCTCAAAGCATATGAGTACTGTAGAACTATTGGAGTTTTCCAAATCCATTTGTCTTTTAAGCAGCATTTCCAGAAGTGAGACAGCTTGAAGACACAAAAGCTTCCACACCTCATAGAACAGCAGCAGCCAAGGCAGAAGGATTAACCAAGATGTACACAGATAATTAGTAGCACTACAGGCAAGAAGCTACAATATGAACTTAATGCAATAAGTTGCAGCAGGAACATAGAACATTAAGTGGGAGTTTGTCCCTTTACATATCATACACGAATTGTATGATATTTTCATTCATGAGTTTCAGGTCCTCAACACAGCTGAGCTTCTCACTAACTAGCTAAAAAAAAAAACAAACCAAAAGAACTCAAACCCACAGAATTCCAACTTGCACCAACTTAAAAATGATTCCTTTACAGCAACATTGCACAGTAACTGTAGCAAACACTTTTTGCTATCATGTAACAAAAACCAAATTCACGTCCCAGTTATGAACACAGACATGCAAGTTAAAAGGAATAAATGAAATGCTCCACTTTATTAAGAAACCAAAAATACAAAACTGAAGAGTTCAAGGCTTCATGTACTCAAACACTACTGAAAAATGGTACCTTAGACTCGGTTTTGTTTTACTAGCAGTACTAATATTGACCAAGATTCATCTCTACAAGGTAGTGTTAAAGGTTGACATTTTCCATCACTTGTGCTGTAATAAGCCAGTTTCAAATTAAGAACTTGGTGCAGTTACAGAAAAGGCTAGATATTTAAATCCATGTGGCTTTAGGTAATATGTTGCTTGTAGGCAAGAACTTTCTAGCTCAAGCCAGTTGTTTACTAGTTGGAATTTTAAGATACTGAGAGTTTGTTTAATCAGCTACAGCTCTACTGAATGATGTTCCATGCAAAGATACAGCTTAAGTCACCTAACAGCCCTGGGTGCCATTTGCTTCAGGCTGCCAAAAGGACAGAGCTCTGAAGGTATATTGTAGAACACAGCAGAAGTGAGAGTGGAGAGGCTGTATCTAGGGGTAGCATAGTCAAGCTGAACTACACACTTTGCTCGCAAGACAACCTACATACCAAACATTCCCATTTGCTGGGAATGTTGATCCAGTCCTACCAGACAAGTGTGCACTGCTTGAGTTGTGCCTGGCAGTTAGTTCAGCTTTCCTCAGATGCTTTAGTTAGATGCTTCAGGAAATAAAGGACAGGTTAAGTGTTAGCTCTGGCTTAGCAAGAAGAGCAAAATATGAGAAGCAGGAGGGAAAACAGAGAATGAGAAAGGCTGTAGACAACCAATATTAGTCTCAACTGAAGAACAGAAGACACTTTGAAAGCATTTTCCTAATAATGCATGAAAGTTCACTTGCTTAGAGATACTTGAAATACAACTTTATTATCTAAACAAAAAAGAATGGGAATGACAGAAACAAGATTTCCACTTAACACTCTGATGTGACTGCAGCAATCTTATATTTGAAACTCAAAAGGGGAAGTAATTGCAGTCCAAAAAACAGCTAAATATGCAGGTCCAAAATATGAAGTTTTTTTCCATTTTGTTTTTTTTTTTTTAAACCGCCACATTCACTCCGAAGCCCATTCATCTCTTTCAGCATCCCAAAGATTAAGCACATGTTCTGCTCAGCTAGATAATAAAGTGGCAAACACGCTGCACCACTGACATCACAGGACAGTTGCCTATAAAACTAGACTTCTGACGCTGGGCTCCAGCTTCATCCCTCACAGGTCATCATCTTCGTCTGGCAGTGCAGTGGTTTGAGCAATCTGCAACAAAGAACAGTTACACTTCAGAACAGTTCTCCAGTTATCTGCCCCAGGAGCCTGAACACCACGAGGCAAGCAGTGGACCTCTGTGCCCTCTCACTGACCTGTAGGTCTCGCTCGTACTGTACTGCCAGTTCTGGGTCCATAACAACTTCGGGTGGTGCAAGCGCAGGCATGGCAACAAACTCCAAGTTAGGATCTCCAATTAGCTTCCTAGCAAGCCACAGGAAAGGCTTCTCAAAGTTGTAGTTACTCTTAGCTGAAATGTCATAATACTGCAAGAAAATACATATTAAAAAAACACCTTGATTGTTAAGGCTATGAAGATTAACACATACACATTCAGCTCTTTTACCTTACTTTTTTGACTGCATTGACTTCTGTTTATGCTCTCTTGAACAGTTGTGATCTAAATGTCTAGAACCAGAGTTTTGGGCAGAAACTGTTAACTACAAGGTATCCAACCCTATCAAAGATGCAGCTTTCAGGAGGCAATAGTGCATATGTCTTTTTCCTGTGTCTTGATCTACTATGCAGCTTTCAGGAGGCAATAGTGCATGTCTTTTTCCTGTGTCTTGATCTACCTTAGTCTCACTTCTGCCATCAGATGAGATTCTGAGCAGTGAAAGCCAAATGCACACATGATGCTCTTTAAGAACTTATCACAGCTTCCGCTCAAGGCCAGTGATGATCATCTTTAATGTCATCACTTCCCCCTTCTCTGAATTTTGGTTCAAACAGCAACAGGATGTAAAGGTGCCTGAAGTGACAAAGGCAGAGGACTCCATTAGTGTCTAGAACCCAACTGCAGCTGGACCCAACTGGTTTGATTCCTACAAACTCATGCCAACTTACCTGGAGATTCTTCTTCCTGTGGAAGACGATGGATTTTGCCTTGACTTTTCTGTCCTTAATATCCACTTTGTTCCCACACAACACTATAGGGATATTTTCACATACTCGTACCAGATCTCTGTGCCAATTAGGTACATTCTTGTAAGTAACTCTTGATGTTACATCAAACATGATGATGGCACACTGAGCTGCAGGAGAGGAACAGTCAAGTTACATCAGGAGTAATGAATGACTTACAAGATGGGAGAGAAAACAGGTACCCATAGGGATTCTACAACAGGGCTAAACATCTCCATTAACTCTTCCCCCTCATCTTCACAGCTACAGCTAATGAATGACTTACAAGATGGGAGAGAGAACAGGTACCCATAGGGATTCTACAATAGGGCTAAACATCTGCATTAACTTTTCCCTTTCATCTTCACAGCTACAGTCCATATTCTGTTACCAGGGTCATGACCATGTCACCTCACATCTGCAGTGCCCCATGAGAAACAGCCCCCAGTTCCATCAATGTCCCACTGAGGACTGTGCTGTTGCATTGTATGAGAACATACAAGATTAGAGGAACCAGCTTGGATTTATACAGAAATTGGTTAACACCTATTTAACTAATCTCAGACATCCTATTGAGGCTTTCAGGTGGGTTAAGAGCCTGTGGTCCACATCTCAGGATGACTTTGTCCAGAGCAGTTTCTCAAAGAACATGGGGGCTTGACTTCATCCCAGGTGTACCTCATCATCACTGTATCTAAAATCTTACAGCTTGAGTTCTAAGTCCCTGCCTGAGGTACATTGTTTCACCTCTTAACCACCAAATTTCAACAGAGTATCTGGTCATTAAACAATGCATTGCTTTCATTAACACCAAACCCTGCAATAGCTTAAGAAAACAACCTTAGTGTGTTCCCACATTAGCACAAGCTGCCTAGAAAGGAAATTACCCTAAATAAGTGAAGAGTTTGAAGACTCCTAAACCAGCTCATCCCTGCAAGCCACACTGACAGCAGAGGGGCTAACATGAATGGAATGAGGGGATTGAACTGCAAGAGGTACAGGGTATTCTCACCTGTGCACACATCTTACCTTGGATGTAATAGCCATCACGCAGGCCACCGAACTTCTCCTGGCCAGCTGTGTCCCATACATTGAATTTAATGGGACCTCTGTTAGTATGGAACACCAGAGGATGCACTTCCACACCCAATGTTGCTATGGGAATAACAAAAAGCACTTAGCAAGTCAGGAATTGCACTTCCAATTGTAACCCATTAGATCTCAGCTGTTTTTTCAGACATACCTACATACTTCTTCTCGAATTCACCAGTCAAATGACGTTTTACAAACGTCGTTTTGCCAGTGCCACCGTCGCCAACCAGGACAAGCTGTTGATAAACGAGAGGAAAATGTCAAAACAATACACTTTAAGACATTTATCAGTCATTTTAGCAGAAATAGTAATTATTACTACAATGACCTTAGTCCCACAACATGCTGTGAAAAAAAACCAAAAAAAGATTCAATTCCCCATGAAGCAACTCCCTGTACTGGGACCCAATTTGCTAAGCCCATCATGCTGCAGCTCTGGTCAGTCTTCTCTGGTTCCTGTACCTGAAAACTACAATGCACTGTGAATATGGTTCTACTAAACTACAAGTGACTGAAAAAGAATATTTGGGGCTTTCAATCTGAATATGCCATAGTTAGAGATGAATTAAACACCCAAATTGGAGAAACCCAATGTTACCTTACAGTTTAAAACAAAGAACCCCCAAACATCTGCACCACTAACAACTAGAAGACTACAGCCAAGTATGGTAGGAAACAAGCAATAACCTTCCTGAAGCATCTTCAGCACTTCTGGCTGTTAAGGTAACAAAAAAATATCAACTCACCACCCACACAAAACACCTGAATATTCTGAAATGTTCCAAGTTTTCTTCCCTGAACCATTATCACACAACAGAAAGTAGGACCATTCTAATTCGCTCCGTGCACTTTTTTGCAGTAAAATTCACTTCTGAAGTCTGGAACTCATTCAATGGGCAGAGATTCACTAACATTTATTAAACTATACTACAAATAGCATCAGATTCACACACTGCAACCCAATCTCTCTGTACCAAGTGTGTGCAAAACTACCAAAAACTAACTGCACCATTCAAAAAATCAAACCTACCATCCACGTCGGCAGCCGAGAAGGAGGAAAAAAAACCCCCACCCAATCACCAAACCACTCCCTTACCTTAAACTGCACTTGGGGCTCTGCTTGGGTGGCCATGCTGGGTCTGCGGGGGAAATGGAAGCATGTGAGCTCACACAACGGGC